GAGTTCCCTACTCTCCCTCCCTCTCTCTCTCACAGCAGCGACATTCAGCAGCAGCTGTTTGTGAAGTCCTTGTATGATCCCTTTCTTTGTGTACTGATATGCACTGGCCTCTGGTCGCCCTCTGATTACCTACCTCTGCATTGCATTGGCGAGTGAGTTCCCTACTTTCTGTCTCTGTCTCTCTCTCTCATCAACGACATCAGCAGCAGCTGTTTGTGAAGTCCTTTTCTGATCGCCGCCAGAGCCGGCCCGGGCGGGCAAAGGTGGGTGAATGGTGAATGATGCTGAGTCCTGGAGGATTCGTCTCCTCTCCGGCAGCTCCTTCACCGGCAACTTCCCAAGGTGGTCCACGCACAAGTGTGAGCGCTGGCGCCAGCCCCTTACCCACCACTCATCTTGGTAGTTTGGATTACCCCCCATCTCTGCAGCAGCAGCAGCAGCAGCAGCAGTATGGATCTTCGGCCGTGCCTGTCGCGGATACAAAGGATGCCCCGCCAATGCCCAAGGGTGAGGAGGGTCCTGCTCGACCCCCCAGGCCTCCCCCTGCCATAGCTCTCTCTCTGGCTCTGGAGAGGTTTGAGTCCGCTAGCTGTCAAATTGCTGCCATCCGATCTGGAGCGGAAGCGCTGATCGAGGCCGTAGATCATGCCTCTAGGTTGAACAGAAATTCTTCTTCTTCGGCAATCAACTCCCAGACACCTGCCAGCATTTCGCCGCCTCTACCTCCCCCTCCGCCTCCTCCCTCCTCGTTCTCCTCCACGTCTTCTGATCAGGTTGGCGGCGTTGGGTCTTCTGCTCGGGGAAAGGTCGCTTCTCCCCCTGCTCCGTCCTCCGCTTCGCAAGGAACGTCCACTGGCGGTGGATTCCGCTCGTCCCCTGGATTGCTGGCAGGGGTGGCACCAACCCCGCAAGATGCCGCTGGTGCAGGGATCCCTGCCGCCATTCCTGTTGGCTCCTCTGATGTATCTGGCTTGAAACCTGGTATGGTCGTGCTTTCCGTAGCTAAGGCGGTGCGCAAAGCCATCAATGAGCTGCGCGTTACGGGAAAGGAACTCCTTGCTGCTCTGGTTGTCGATAGCGGTGCGCCCAGTGCCTCGTGTAGAAATGCTGCCACTGCCACTAGTCGGGTATCAGCAGGGGACCCTTCTGCTCCCGTTCCCCCTGCTGCCCTGTCCTCATCTCTCCCCCATGCAGCTGCGCCTCCTCTTCCTCCACCCCCTCCTTGCCCAGACGGTTCTCGCCTCCTCTTCGAATGGTGTCGTTATCTGGAAGGTCATGCTGTCGCGACAGCCATTGAGCACGCCAAGGCCGCATCGACTGCATTTGCGGAGCAGTCTGGGGAATGGCAACGAGGGCGGTGCAGACGGATCTCTTCCGCCTCTTGCAGCATGGGAGACCCAGGTTCGAATCCCTTTAGAGGACGACTAGGTGAAGGGGGAAATCGAAGAGGACTTGGCGAGGGGAATGACCTGGGGGTGATCTTCCAGCGAGTGACCGACACCTGTCCTAACATGAAGCTTAGTCTCTCGTCTTTCTCAGGTTGGGGCCGACATGTGTACCCCCCGGGGGTTGCATGTCAGGGTGGCGGTCGCTTCCACGACCTTACCGAAGCTAGATCGGCCCGACATGTGTACCAGCCCGAAGCTGCTGGAGTGGAAGATGGTGCTGGCGCACGTCAACAGCGCCTGCAGTCACAATTATCGCATCCCGACTTTCAGCTGATGAACGATGGACAGAAAGACGTGGGACTGATATCGCCGGTGGGAATGGGAAACCTGGGATTGATCGCAAGAGGATGGAAGAGCAGCTCAGCGAGGTTGGGAGCAGGAGGAGTAGGGGGTGGTGAGGTGTTGAGGAAGAAGGATGGTGGGAATGCGTCGGTTATCCACGTGGCATGCCCTGGTGTGTTCCAGGCGGTTATCGCCTTAGAATCCCGCTCCCGACCAGTCGCGATCTCGGTGTTTGCCCCGGATGAGGTAGTGGGTGTCCATGCTTGGGGGCTTTCTTCCCGCCACGTGTTTTCCCTCCTCACTACTCATGTCCTCAGAGCATTGCACTGCTTCAACGAAGAGGAGGAGGAGGAGGAGGAGGAGGAAGGAGGGGGGGGATTGTCGAGGGATGATGGTGGAGCAACTGCAGCAGAATCAGGGAGAGGTAGAGTAGGGGGGCTGGAGCGGCTTCTTAAGTGGCTTTACAGTTATAGATCTCTTTTCACAGAACCGTGCGCAGTATGCAGGAAGGTACTCGCGCATGACCCGCCTAGTAGAGCATTGCTTCCTCCCATCCTCCGACCATTTGGGATTGAGAAGAGGAGGCAGGAGAGGCAAGAACAGAAGAGGAAGAGGAAAGAGGACACGCTGCGACAGCAGGTGCAATGCGCTCATCGTGCCGCACATGCGGGATCGGGATTGATTCCAGCAGATTTGGCAGCAATGAATAGGGCGGGGAAGAATGAAATGACTCTCCCGCTCATTTCGCCTGTCGGGGCGTTAGGGTCCTCATCCTTAGCGTCGTTAGCAGGAGGAGGAGGTGGTGGTAGTGACGGAGAAAATAGAGTGGGAGTGGGAGCGATGAATGACAGATCGGGAAGGTTCTTAGCGGGAATTGTGCCACAGCAGGGTCTTTGTGGCAACAGCCCTTCTCACTTGGGTGGATATGGGAGGGAAGAGAAGAGAGAAGAGAGCTTAGCTTACCATATCAACTGTGTTTTGAAGAAAGAGAGTCATGGTGCTAATGAACCTGCCTCCTAAAATCTCCATAACCTCTCTTCTACCTTCTACTCCCACTCCTCTTTTGCCTCAGTGTCATTCTCTCTGGTGCTTGGTCTGTTACCTTCACAGAGCTGGGAAGGCGGATGGCGAATCACGCCTCTCTCTCTCCCCATATCATTGAACGCTCCCTCCACCTAATCGTGTCTATTCCTAGCGCCAAGGCCGGAGCTCTGTGTGTGTGTGTGTGTGTGTGTGTGTGTGTGTGTGTGTGTGTGTGTGTGTGCGCGCGC